ACTTAAAAGGCAAGGGCAAAGGCAGCTAAAATGAGATAGTCTCCATTAACTCATCCCACAGAAAAGCTATTTAAAATTCAAAATCACAATTAACCCTCCATCAGAAAATATATGACAATTAGCTCCTGGTCAATCTCAGTCTAGTAGCAATCAGAGAGCGGTGCATACAAGTTTTTTTTCAGGATCCAGTTTCTTAAGCATAACTAAAATACAAAGTAGCTCAGTTGATTTTCAACTAAGATGCCCCATCAATTTGATGGAGAAAGGAGTTTTTTGTCTTTTGGTTTTTTCTATCTTTTTAATCTATGTTCCTAGAACTAGATATCCCTATGGAGATAAAGCAAACCTATCTCACATTGTAACACAAAACATAATTTTAGCTGGTAGCTCACGCCTGTAATCACAGCTACTCGGAAGACTGAGACTGGAAGTACTGTCTGTAATTCAATTCAAGGCCAGCCCAGGCAAATAGTTCAAGAGATCCTCATCCACAGCTACTCGGAAGGCTGAGACTGGAAGTACTGTCTGTAATTCAATTCAAGGCCAGCCCAGGCAAATAGTTCAAGAGATCCTCATCCCCAAAATAACTAGACTAAAATGGACTGGAAGGGCTGACAGAGTGATTAATGGCAGAGTGCAAGCTCAGTGAGGCCCTGAGTTCAAGCCCCAGTAACACACACACACACACACACACACACACACACACACACACACACACACACACACACACACACACACACACACAAAATCCTCAGGCAAACTGAGTGTCCTGTAATCTGCCATAGGAAACAAATTGAAAGAAAAAAAAAAGAATCGTACAAACAATTAATGAATGACTCAATGAAAAAAGAGGCAAAGGACTTGAACAAATACTTCATAAAAATCAGATATTGTATAGACGATTAGCACATGATAACTATCTAGGTTGATTTGAAAAAAAAAAAGCATCTATTCTGTTTTGGTAGAAGTCACAGCATATAAAATTATCAGAACTCCAGGAACTGGATACTTAAGAGATGTGTATCTACAGAATATTAATTATACCTCAATAAAAATTATAAATAGGGGTGTTTGCCCAGCATGTATAAGGCCCTGGGTTTGGGTGTAGGTTGAGGGAACTAAGATCAACATGGCCTGGACAGGACAGAGTAGCACTGCATTTCAAAATGGGTTAATGATTTTGTTTCAAATGAAATTATAGAATATCACACATGCACTTTTGATCACTTGCCACTGTGGATTAGTTAAACCTCTATTCTTTCATTACTATACAAAACCTAATAGATTATAGACACAGACAGATATAAGAATGTATGTTTAGATATTTAATTTTTCATAAATAGCAAACTGAATTTGACTCTTTACAATTTTAATATGTACTTAATAGACTAGTGGACTTACAAATTCAGTAGAATTTTCTGCTTTCTGTATCACTTTTTTGTCAACATGATTTTATACTGTGATTTTAAAAGGTCTGACGTAAAACTGAGAAGACACAGAAATCAAATGTCAGCAAAGAAAGTCAATCATCAGTAGTGACAGTGCTTTAGTCACCACTACAGCCTAGAGAATAATGCTCTCAACTACTCTAATCAAGAAAAAACTGGACTAGAGGTGTGGCTCAAGTTGTAGAGCACTTCTCATTTACTTTGTAAATGAGAAGCCCTGAGTTTCAACCCCAGTCCTACCAAAAGAAAAAAAGTATTTCAATTTAAGAACTCAAAAGCATGACAAACAGTTCTCCAGCTAACTTAATCATTAAAACAATAATACAGCCTAAATAACAACAGTGTACATCACGCTGATACAGAAAACCTATTAAAAGCCCTTTCTCCTACTGTTTTACTGCATCTTCCCCTGTCTTCTTTCCCTTTCATCTTTCTCTCTGTTGATCTCTATCCGGGTATATTTCGGTTTTTGGCGGTACTAGGGTTTGAAGGTTTGAACTCAGGGCCCCACAATTGCTAGGCAGGTGCTCTGCTGCTTGAGCCACTCCACCAGCCCCCTATCCAGGTATATTTCTATCCCTACCACCTCTCACCCTCCCTATAAAACTGCTCAAATCAAATTGATTTTTAGTACCCAGCTCATCTCAGATTCCAAATACATTATACTCTAGGAAGCTATGTCACATTCACCCTTACGGTATACAGTGGAGTAGCCTGGGTGACAAAGATAACCAGTAAGTGGGAAAATAGACTGACTTCATCTGTTTTCCACCAGTACAACGAGAAAAGAGCTCTCCTTCTGAGTGAGCACCTGCCACATATTTTTACTCCCTACAAACAGCTCCTGCAAGTGCTCTCAACTATAAACAAGTACACATCCCTAATGCCAAAGAAGGGAGGCTCCCAGACAGGAGCAATGTCTCACATAAGGAACCCAGACAGTGGGCTCAACACGTTAATTCAACACATGCTTGTCGAATTAATGAACTACTGAATTAATGTGAACGAAAACAACTGAAGATGGAAGAAGAGAGACAAAAAATCTGAGAGGATATAGAAAAAAAGGAAGGACGGCAAGAGGAGAAAACACTGTGAAGGCATCTATGTTGGACTGCATAGGGTTATTTTTCAATAATTGAGAACTGGAAAAATCATGGATATGTATCTAATGTTACAGTTATCAGCACCAGCCTTTAAATACCCATTATAAACACCTTAAGGGCCAGATCAGACTGTAAACCCAGTCACACAAAAGGCATAGGTAGGAGGATACCTATTTAAGGACAGCCCCAGGCAAAAACTGAGACCCTACTTGAAAAATAACTAAAGCAAAAAAGGGATGGGGATATGCTTACATGGTAGAGCATCTGCCCAGCAAGAGTGAGTCACTGAGTTCAAGTCTCAGTAAATAAAATAAAAAGTAAAATATAAACACCTTAAAATACCTTTAAAATAATCTCCCCACTCCTGTTATTCAAAGTGTGGTCTCTAACAACACCTATCACATATGCCGATTCCAGGGCCCCACTTCAAAACTATCAGAAAGATCCTGGATGATTTATGCATGGTATAAAGTTTGATAAGCACCAGCCTTCCACCACCCAGGTCCCTTCTTTTGTACTGAACCTGTGTTGTACTTAAATGAGCCAGTAGCTGAAGTTGAAAAAAATGTTTTCCTTCATCCTTTGTGTGCGTTGCTGGGGACAGAACCTGGCCGTGCACATGCTAGGCAAGCGCTCTCCTTCTGAGCTACAATCCCAGCCTGAAAAAAAGCTTTGATTACAGTAGTGAAACTAATAACTGTAATGGGATTTGACCTAATCCCATTTGAATTAATAACTGTAGGTGAAGTTACTAAATACAGAGTAATGTGGCCTAATGGTCTACCACAAAGGTTAAAGAAAATTGAGTAGCATCCTAAAGAACTCAGTTTTGTTCCTTCATACCTAGCTCAGAGCTTGGAATGATATATGTGATCGGTTTCCTGAGTAAAGAAAATAAATGAACTTTTAAAAACCAGAGAAGGTAAGGGCGAGGGATGTGGGCTCAAATGGTAGCATGCTTGCCTAGGAAGTGCAAGACCTGGAGTTCAAACTCCAGCACCGCCAAAAAGAAAACACCAGCCAGGAGCCAGTAGCTCACGCCTATAATCCCAGCTACTCAGGAGGCAAAGATCAGAATGGTGGTTTGAAGCCAACAGGGGCAAATAGTTCACAAGACCCCATCTTGAAAAAACCCATCACAAAAAAGGGCTGGTGGAGTGGCTCAAGATAGACACTGAGTTCAAGCCCAAGTCCTATTAAAAAAAAAAAAAAAAAGAAAGAAAGAAAAGAAAAAGATCAAAGAAGACCGGGATAATCATGGGTTATCTGGCCAGCAACCTCATCCTAAAAATGAACAAAGGAGACTTCCTGAGAGGTAAGAAAGCTACAAAAGCTAGAACATACTGGAACTCGAATTTTATTTCCCTTTTTGTTCTTTTTGAAGGAATGTGTTAAAGGGATGAGTACCTCTTAATGACTGTGGACTCTTGAAGAAGTGATAAGATTTCAAAGGTGTTTAGGACGAGGAAGAAGAAACGAGAGGAGTAAATGAGCCTGGGGAAAGCTCTTTCTCTAAAGCCTAACATCTTTTTGACAGGCCAATTAATCAATTTAACCTACCCAAAAAATTAATCAGAAGGATTCTCAGAAAAAAGAAACCTGCGTGAAAATGCTGCGAACTCAGGAAGACCTCACATGAGTACCTTAGGTCACCACAAGCTCATTTCCTGTTTAAGCTGACCTCCTGTGATAACTTTTACTACAGTGCTCATTCCCGGATGACTTTTGGTTGTAAGGGAAGCCAAGGGCAAGTTGGAAATGTGATTCTTAACTAAACATTAAAAAAGAAAGAAAGAAAGAAACGGCTGCTGTTTCCCATTTGTGTTTGTAATGAGAACACAGGCATGCGAAGGAAATGCACGAAGCCCTGGAAGCCAAAATACACCGACCCCGCATGTCCCCAAAACAAACCAGCTGAGACTGCACAGCTGGACACAGCTGGGCTGCACGGCAGCCAAGGACTTAATTCTCAGATGAACAGACAGATCAAAAGGACCACGGCAAGACGAGCCGGATTTCAATCACAGAAGGGTGTGCCGTAAATTTGGCTTTTTTTTTTTTTTTTTTTTTCTTCCTCCAGCTTGCAGCAAGCACAAGCCTTTAAGAGGAGAGTCCCCGAGTGACGCCCAGGTGGGAGCAGGAGTTTCGCCGAGCTCCGCGGGAGGCGCAGAGGCCGGGGCCGGTCCCGAACCCAAGGAGGCAGGGCCGCGAGTGATTCATCAACCACTCGCGTTTCGCGTGCTTCGGCCGGCGGGCGACGCCCAGCGCACCCCACGACTCCCGCGGTGGCCGGGACGCCCCAGGCAACCCAGCATCCCCCGGCTTCCCGAGAGGGGCCCGTGGAGCCCGGCGGCTGCACGCACTGCCGCTCCTCCTCAGCCACCATGGCTGGTGCGACTGCCTGCCGCGCCCGCGACGGACTTCCTGGAAAGCACCGGGCTGAGCTTACCTGCTTGGCGCCCGCTGCGGCCACCGGGGTCCTGCAGACACGCGGGAATTGCCTGCCGCCTGCTCGCCGCCGCTCGGTTCTCAACACCCGCCAGTCGGCTGCGCCTGCCTCCCAGGGAGTTGCCGGATCCACCCGCAGTGACTCCCCCGATCCACCGCGCTGTGGGCACGGCCTGTTCCTCTCCGCCTCCGACGTGCGTGCGCACTCCTGGCCACGGGGCATCCTGGGAGTTGTAGTCCACAAGAGGAGGGCGCGGCTCCGCGCGCGCACACGGTCTTTACAATGCGCTGGGCGCTGGAACCCGCTGTAACTCCAAGCCTAAACCCAGCCTGAAACAATGCTTGCTTCTTTGTTTTTTTTTTTTTTTCTTTATATTTGGTTTTTCTTCTTTTTGTAAATTAGCATACATTAATCAAAGGTGTTTCATTGTTATATTTCCATACATGCATGTAATGTACTTTGGTCAAATTCACTCCATTACTTTTACTTATTCCCCCCCCCCTTTAAAACATTTTTTAATCGAATTTCATTATTTTATTTTCTTATATGCATATGAAGTTCTTGGGTCCTGTTCACCCCTGGGACAATGCTTTCTACTCTTGGAAATACCTACCCCGGACCTTCTGGAAGCCTGAAATCCCATCCAGAGGCTGTTTGGCAGTGGACTTCCTTTTGCCTTGGGTGTTTTGCAAAGAGGTGCATACCCTAAATTACTAATGTGAGGACATGACATCCGCTCTTTTAACTTGAAAGATTGATAGAGAAGTAATACAGTGAAAAGTAAGAATTAAGTATAAAAAGCCAAATAAAAGACCCTCAAGGGCCAACAACCAGGGTTTGTCACTTCCAGGGCACAGTACCCTAGTGATTTCCTTAGGCACGTCCCTATCTATCTACCAGGCAGTTTCTGCTCCATCCTATCCTCCCAATCCAGCTTCAATGAATGGGGGTTGGACTGATGTGGGTGGGAATAAAAAACAGAAGTGACTGCTCAAAGAGGGTACTGAGGTGGTAGGGAGTGACGACAGGGAAGTGGGCATACTTTCATGGGCAATGGGACAGCGACCTAGGTTGATCGATGTTTTTTGTGCAGGGCTCCTAGGAGAGGGAACAGAGATGTCCTCCCATTCACTCACTTAGGCACTCCCTGGAATTTTCCCGGTCTGATGCTCAAGAAGTAGACCATCCCCAGGAGTAATGGTGGGTGTTGACACACCTTTCAACATGCAGTTAAGGAAGAGACAGGAGTGCCTATTCCAGATACATTGCAGCGGCACCCAGTCTAGACAGTCACCTAATGGTTAAACCTCTCCTGGAATCAACTTCTTCCCCTCGGAGCAGGAAGCACCCAAGGTCAGGTAAACACTCTGGAATTTTGCACAACCGCTACCCATAATTTCAGCAATGAAGATCACTTATGATTTGGGGTTTTCAGGAAAAACTGTTGTAAATGGAAAATACTCTGAGAAGACAGTCAACTCTCAGTCTTGTGACTATAACCTCTTATTTTCTTTTTCTTTTTTTATTAGCATATTATTAGTTGGGCAGGGAGCTTTCATTGTAACATTCACATATATGCTTACAATGTAACCTTATTTTCTATAGCAAGAACCAATTTTTCAAATATTCTGGGAGTGAGCAGCTTTCTAAAAGATAGTTCCTAAATCTCATCAAATTCTTTAAAGTAAAATAATGTGTGACCATGTCCAAGGAATATGAAAACAATTTTCTAAGACATTGTAGGGGAGAAGGTACTCTAAATGGGTGAAATAAATATTTGCATTTCTTTGACAGTTCTTTATTACCTACATTAGTATCCTAACTTATTCTGATTTACCAGCAATTCTGTTGTGAATTTCCTCCATCTCTGGGATGTTACTCCCAAAGAAACTGACCAACTGGAGTTCCTTAAGAAGCCAAACAGCTGGGTGCAGTGGTTTATGCCTGTAATCCCAGCTATTGGGAGGGGGAGATAGGAGAATCATGACCTGAGGCCAGTCTGGGTCAAAAAAAAATGTAGCAGTATCAGAGGAGTCCAGCACGGCAGAGCATGTCTGTAATCCCAGCTATCCCTTAGGCATAGGTAAGAGAACTGCAGTCTGAGGTGCATCCTGAGCAAAAAGTACAAGGCTATATCTGAAAAATAACTAAAGCTGGAAGTGTGTGGCTCAAATGGCAGAGCACTTAAGTGCAGGCCCTGAGTTCAAACTCCTGCACCACATCTTGAAAATGGTTTATTTTTAGGACTTTCCTCTATAATATGGCTTCTTTTGCTTTACTCTTTGGTTAGAGAGGGCTTTTAATTCAATGCCTGACCAGTTTCATCTTTGACACTTTTTCTCCCTGACCCTCCTATGTGGGGTATCCGGCATACATTAAATGTATTTTCTCCTTTTAACAATTAGTCAGTTTTTCCTAATAAACGTTTGCATCTTTAGTTCCTTTTTCTAAAACAAACTGCGTGGTCATGGATTTTCCTCAGGTGAGTTAACACTCATCTCTCGATCACAGGCTTACAGACGTGAACCTCCTAACCCATGTACTTAAACACCACAGATGTGGCCAGAGCAACAGCGCAGTAATGGATAAAGCGGTACAAAACAGAACCTTCCCCACGCCCTCCACTCCCGCTGTAATCTGTCCTCTGTACCAGCGCCCAGCATGATCTTTTAAAAACAAGTCTGATCACATCAACCTCCTGCTTCAAACCACTCATCGCTTCCACCATGTTCAGCATAAAATCCAAAGTTATCACCCCACAAGTCCTTACAGGACTGTTTTCTGTCCTACCACATACTCTCACTGCTCCAGTCACTTGGCCTCCCTAAGCTTCCTTCCTCCTGCCAACTATAGCCCCACAACATGGGAGGGGCTCTACATGGGAGGATGCTTCTCCTCCCCACACCGTGCATGTCCGTGTTTATTTATTGGCAGTTCTAGGGTTTGAACTCAGGGCTTTGCACTTGCTGGGCGGGCACTCTTAAGACTTGAGTCATACCTCCAGCATCTTTTGACTTATTTTTGGAAGAGGGCCTCACATTTTTTCCCAGTCCTACCTCAAACTGCTTATCCTCCCTTTCTCTGCCTTCTGAGTAGCTGGGATTACAGGCATGAGTCACCATGCCCTCTTTTTAATGAAGGTTCTGTTCAAATGTCACCCCTGAAAGTTTTCTGATCTTGTCCTGTCATTCTTGCCTTTTCTTACTTTTGTTATATCACATTGCTCATTTATTTAGTGTAAGTTCAGTGAGAACTGTGTGTTGTTTATCTCTCTGTCCTTAGCATCTGCATTACCACCCGACACCCAGTAGGTATTCAATAAATATATGTAGATAAATTCTGACTCCTTTTTGGTGACCTGCTCTCATCTTGGACACTGAACCAGAAGGCTCACCTGTAGATGCTAGACAGGGATATGATGCAGATATAAACACCACCAGCTATGAGAGGGTTGACTACACAGAACAAATCCAGAGAAACTCACCTTGAAACGGAGACAGAATTCTTGTTTAAAAGGATCATACTTAGCTGATGCACACCTGTGATCCCAGCACTCCACAGGCAAAGGCAGGAGGATCACAAGTTTGAGGCCAGCCTGGGCTACCTATTGAGACCATGCCTCAAACATAAAAATAAAAGGATCATACTTCATAAGTTGCCCTTTTTAGCTAATGGCTACAAAATACAATTCTTGGAAAAGAAAATTATACTTACATAAATAAGTGAAAAGGTAAGTCCATTAAATGCTGGTGATAGATTGAAATATTGCTCCCAAATATTTGTTCTCCTCTAAAAGAAGAGACTACCCGCAACCCTGCAGATGTTTTCAGGCTTGGCTATGACCGCGTGACAAGTTTTTCCTTCTTTCTTTAGACACAAAACTTAGAAACATGAATCTTGCTTTGCCCAGTGAAATGCAAGTGGAGGTGACAATGTGGTAGTACTGAGTGGAACTGGAAGAGGGACTTCTGTGTCTCACTGGTGTGCTTCCCCTTTTCCTCGTCTGTATTCTAGACAGTGCCTGGTCCTTCTGTCTGGGTCTTTCTTAGGTACATGAATCACAGCCTCAACCCAATATGGGAGCTGACATACGTAATGTGAGCAAAAAGTAACAGAGAATCAGATGTGTTTGTTACCAAGGACTTACCCACTGATGAAGTGGAAGTGGTATGGGACCCCTGCATTTAATCCCACTGCACATAATGGAAAACAGTTGAAGTTCCACCTACTAAATGGAACAAATCTGAGTCCTTTAGGTAAAATATTTGAATGAGGGCCCAGTGGCTTATGGCTGAAATCCCAGCTACTTGGGAGGCAGAGATCAGGAGGATTAAGGCTCAAGGTCAGCCCAGGCAAACAGTTAGTGAGATCCCATCTCACTAATAAACTGGGTGTGATAGCATACTACCAGTATAAATAGGATGACAGTCCAGGCTAGCCTGGGTAAAAACTCAAGAACTTTCCAAAAAGTACCTAAAGTAAAAAGGATTGGAGATTTGGCTCAAGTGATAGAGCAGCTGTCCAGCAAGTAGGAGGCCCTGAGTTTATTTGTTTATTTTGGTGGTACTGGGGTTTGAACTCAGAGCCTCATGTTAGCTAGGTAGGCACGCTACCACTTGAGCCACATCCCCAGTGTGATGTCCTGAGTTTAAACCTCAGTACCATGAGCAAAGAAAAAAAAAATTGAATGAGGACAGGGTATGGTTCTTATTAGTTTTCAAGGTCTGGCTGGAGTGAAAATGTTGGATAAAATGCATTCCAACTCCACTTACCGTATTATAAGCTCTCATTAGTGTTATCTTGTAACCTCCAGCCAGAGCAACTCACAAAACATGCATCACACTGAATCATCACAGCAAATTAATACCAGCGGCGATTCTCTCAGTATCAAAGGGTTCCTTTAGGAAACAATTTCCTTGCTATACTTAAGCATTTTTTAAACATGTAATTCATAGGACAGCTGAGGAAATTTTAGCTACAGACATACACTTGGAACAAAAATGTACGGATTTCATTCTGGGGCATGGAGTTGGTGAAAGCAGAGGGGAGGCATCAGAGAGGACAGATACTATGTCTGGGTGTGAACAATTTTATGGAGAGCATTCAAGAAAACTGTCGGGCC